AAAAGATACATTACTACAGAACCACTAGGCATTAAAAAGATAATAAGAGGGTATTATGGATAATCTTTTGCCAATGCTTTTGAATATTTAGCTGAAATGCAAAAATTCTTTCAAAACCACCATTTAGAAATGACCAAAGAACCAATAGAAAATCTGAATAATCCTGATATCATTAAAAATGTTCAATCTGTAATTAATACCTTTCAACATGAACAACTAAATGAAACAAACAAACAAAAAGCAAACGCTTTCTAGGCCCAGATATATTTTACAATAAACAGTTAACAATATTGTGTCAAACTCAAATTTCCTGAATTTGAATGTATGTTCAATTCAACTTTGAAATACATGCTGAGGTACCGAAGAGTAAAGGAACATAACGTGTATAAGTAATTCTCAAATGGTTCAGGGGGGAACATCTGCAATTTTGTGTGTGGGCGGGGTGCGCATAGGGGTGTATACATACACACATATGTATATACATACATATACATATAGCAAAATGTTGACAATTTGTGAATCTGGGTGAAGGATATAAGGAAGTTGTTTGTATGATTCTTGCAACTTTTCTGTGAGTTTGTGTTAATTTAAAAATAAAAAATTACTGGAAAAAATAAATAAAAATAAAAAATTTAATACACAGAAAGAGAAAGAATTAACACCCAATCTTTCAAAGAATTAAAAAAAATGGGAATAATTCCCATTTCATTTTATGAGAATTCCAAAACTTGATATCAAAATCTGACTAGGACATTAGAAGAAAAGAAAATTACAGACCAATTTCTCTAATGCATATAGATGCAGAATTCATGAAGAAAATGCTAGAAATTGAATCCAGAGATACATAAAAATTAATACACCACAACCAAATAGAATTTGCCCCCAAAACACAAGATTAGTGTAAAGGTTGAACATCAAATCTGTAAAATATACCCACTAACAAAACTAAAAAAAAAAAAGAATCACATAATCATCTCACTAGATGTGGGAAAGCATTTGAAAAAATTCAACACCTATGCATGATAAAATCTCTTAGCATATTGGAAGTAGAAGGAATTTTCTTCAGTCTGATAAAGGCCGTATACCAAAAGCTCAGAGCAACTATCACACTTAATGGTGAAATATTTTGCCCTGAGATGAGGAAGATGATATTAATATCTATCACCATTTTTATTCAACAATTTAGTAGAGGTCAAAATCAGTTCAAATAAGGCAAAAAATAAAACAAAAAGAATAAGAATTAGAAAGGAGGAAATAAAATTATAATTATATGTAAGACTATATAATTGCATAAAATGCATAAATTCAGAAAACCAGAAAGAATCTACAGCTAGGTTATTGGTTATAGTCCAATTATAACACTGCTGGACACAAGTTCAATATACATAAAATATATATATATGTAAAAAACCAATTTTATTCATAAATAGCATCAACAAACAGAAGACAAAATGTAAAAGCTTTACTATTCATGATAACATCCAAAACATAAAACATCTGGGAGAAAACCTAGTCAAAAATGCAAAAGATATCCAAGAAAAATTAAAGATGTAAACCATGGACAGACATACCATGTAAATGAATTGAAATACCAATATTGTCAAAGTCAGTTATCTCAAAATTCATCTGTAGATTAAATCCAATCTCAATCAAAATGTCATCGTGCTGATTTTTTAGCAAAAATATTTTTATTTCAGCTTTATTGAGCAAATAAATCAAATCAATAATAATTGATTTGATTTGAAAATAAATAAATCAAAGCAAATAATTGGCAAATAAAATTGTAAGATATTTAAAGTGTATATCCTAGTCATTTGATGTATGTAAACATTGTGGAAGAATTACCCCCACCTAGTTAGCACATCTATCACCTCACAATTTTTTTTTTTTTTTGGAGGTCATTTAAGTTTTACTCTCTTAGCAAATTTCAATTATACAATACATGTTATCAATTATAGTCACCATGTTTAATATATGTATACATATATAAGTGTATATCTCACAACTTCTTTGCCCACTCATTCATTGATGAACACATAGGTTGTTTCCATATTTTAGCTATTGTGAATGATACTGGAATGAACATTAGAGTACAGAAATATCATGATATCCTATTTTCATTTCCTTTGGATATACACCCAGAAGTGGAATTGCTGGATCATACAGTAGTTCTATTTCTAATATATTGAGGAACCTGCATACTATTTTCCATAGTGGCCAATTTACATTTCAACCAACAATGTACAAGTGTTCCCTTTTCTCCACATCCTTGCCAACATTTATTATCTCTTGTCTTTTTGATGATAGCCATTCTAACAGGTGTGAAGTGATATCCCATTACGGTTTTAATTTGCATTTCCCTGATGATTAGAGATGTTGAGAACCTTCATGTACCTATTAGCCATTTGTATGTCTTCTCTGGAAAATGTCTAACTAGTTCCTCTGCCCATTTTTTGATTGGATTTTTTGGGTTTTTTTGTTATTGAGTTCCATGCATTCTTTATATACTTTGGATATTAACCCCCTTATCAGATGTATGATTTACAAATATTTTCTCCCATTTGGTAGGCTGCCTTTCCATTTGGTGATGGTTTCTTTTGCTGGACAGAAGCATTTTAGTTTGATGTAGTCTCCCTTGCTTATTTTTGCTTTTGTTGTCTTTGCTATTGATGTCAAATCCAAAAAAACATTGCCAGGACTGATATGAAATTGTTCGAGGACTTTTATGGTTCAGGTTTTACATTCAAGTCTTTAATCCATTTTGAGTTGATTTTTGCGTGTAGTGTAACATAGGGGTCCAGTTTCAGTCTTTTGCATGCAGCTGTCCAGTTTTGCCAAAGCCATTTATTGAAGAGACTGTGCTTTCCATATTGTACATTCTTGGCTCCTTTGTTGTAAATTAATTGACCATACATGCGAGAGTTTATTTCTGGGGTTTCCATTCTGTTCCATTGATCTATGTGCCTGTCTTTATACCAATACCATACTGCTTTGATTACTACGGCTTTGTAATATAGCTTGAAATCAGGAAGTGTGATGCTTCCAGTTTTATTCTTCTTTCTCAGGATTGCTTTGGCTAATTGGGATCTTTTGTGTTTCCATACTAATTTTAGGATTGTTTTTTTTTTTATTTCTGTGAGAAATGCCATTGGAATTTCTATAGTGAGTGAATTGAATCTGTAGATGGCTTTGGATGGTGTGGACATTTTAATAATATTAATTCTTCTGACCCACAAGCACATGATATCTTTCCATTTGTTTGAGTCTTCTTCAATTTCTTTAATCAAAGTCTTGTAGTTTGCATTGTACAGATCTTTCACTTCTCTGATTAAATTTATTCTAAAGTGTTTTATACTTTTTGATGCTATTGTGAATGGGATAGTTTTCTTTATTTCTTATTCAGATGTTTCATTGTTAGTGTAAGGAATGCAACTTATTTCTGTATGTTGATTTTATATTCTGCAACTTTAATGAATTCATTGATTAGTTCTAACAGTTTTTCAGTTGAGTCTTTAGGATTTTCTATATATAAGATCGTATCATCTGCAAGTTATGACAATTTTACTTCTTCCTTTACAATTTGGATGCCTTTTATTTCTTTATCTTGCCTGACTGCTCTAGCTAGGACTTCCAGCACTGTGTGGAATAAGAGTGATGAGAGTGGACACACTTGTTGTGTTGCTGATCTTAGAGGGAAAACTTTCAACTTTTTCACGCTTTACTGTGATGTTAGCTGAACATTTGTCATATACGGACTTTTTTATGTTGAAGTGTGTTCCTTCTATACCCAATTTATTGAAGATTTTATCATGAAAGGATGTTTTATCTTGTCAAATGCTTTTTCTGCATCTATTGAGATGATCATATGGTTTTTATCTTTCATTCTAATAATGTAGTGTATCACACATATTGATTTGCGTATGTTGAACCATCCTTGCATCCCAAGGATAAATCCCACTTTGAATGTGTTATTGAATTCAGTTTGCTAATATTTTGGTACGAATTTTTTTATCTGTATTCACCAGGGATATTGGTCTATAGTTTTCTTTTAGTGTAATTATCTGGATTTGGTATAAGAGTAATGTTGGCCTCATAAGATAAACGTGGGAGTGTCCCTTCATCTTTCATTTTTTTAAAGAGTTTGAAAAGAATTGGTGTTAATTCTTTAAGTGTTTGGTATAATTCACAAGTGAAATCATCTCTCCTGGACTTTTCTATGTTGGGTGTTTTTAATAATTGAATCAATCTCCTGACTCGTTATTGACCTGCTCAAATTTTCCATTTCTTCGTGGTTCCATCTTAGTAGGTTGAGTATTTCTAGCAATTCATCCATTTCTTCTAGTTTATCCAATTTGTTGGTATATGATCAGTTGTTCTTAGTGGTCTCTTATGATACTTTGCATTTCAGTGGTATCAATTGTAATGTCTCCTCTTTCATTTCTGATTTTATTTATTTGAGCCTTCCAGTTAGTCTAGCTAGATGTTTTTCTATTTTGTTTATCTTTTAAAAAAACCAGCTCTTAGTTTCATTGATCTTTTCTATGGTCCTTTTAGTCTCTATTTCATTTGTTTCTGCTCTGGTCTTTATTATTTCCTTCCTTGTACTAACTTTAGGCTTAGTTTGTTTTTCTTCTAGTTCTTTGAGGACCTCTTCTTTGGAGAGGAAGGAGGACATAGTAATGGGTGGGACACAACGGTGACTTCTAGGCTGCTGTTAATGTTCTCTTTATTGATCTGGATGGGGTACATGGCTGAGGTATATACTTATTGCTTAAGCATTGTTCTTTATGATTGTACTTAAATAATATAGTTCATTAAAAAAATATTATTACTCTTAACACTTCTTTCCCTGACCTGAAAAATGAAGGAATAATGAGAAGAACCATATTTTCCCATGAAATATCTTACTTTTGAGCCACTTTTTCCACACCTTCTGCTCTTAGGAACATTTCACTTCAAGGAGCATCCTGAGTACCAGTTAACCCCTCCCTCTCTCTTACCTGAGCAGATCACAGAGGCTGTGTTTCCATGGGTACAGTCAGGAATGCCCAGGGCAGTCATAGGGCAATTCCACAAGAAGGATTCAGCCCCTGAGCAGTGAAATTGGGCTTTCCAGATCTGATCACCTCCTTCCACAAAGTATGCTCCTTTTGGGGTAGAGGTGGCAACTCCACAGCCAAGCTGATGACAGACAACATTGGCATTGGCCATATTCCAGTGGGAAGCACAGAGCATTCTCCATTTTCCAGAAATATTCATCTCCACTTGTCCCTCACACTGAGGGGTGCCATTTTTCACAAGCCGGACTTCTGTGTACACTGATAGAAGAAGACAGGATTTCAGTAAAATCTCATGTTTTCCTTACCCCAGCAGAGTATGCAGGGAGGTTAAAGTCCTGCTCTGCATCTCACCTGAGCAGACAATGTGAACAGCCCCACTATGGTGGCAAGTACCTCCTGGACAGGGCACTCTAGGGCAGAACCAGAGCTCAGGCTCCTGCCCCTCACACCAGAACTCTTCAGCCCAAACTCGTCCATCTGACACTTTGAAGGGCACATCTACCAGGACGGACACAGCCTTGCCACACCCCAGCTCTGCACAGATGACCTGGGCAGTGGGAAGTGTGAAGTTCCCAACAGACACTGGAGTCCAGTCTCCTCCAGAATGCACTTCCACTTGCCCTGAGCAGGGTCCATCCCCACCAACCAGACGCACAAATCCTAAGAGAAAACAAACAAACAAACCCAGTGAATTTTCATAATCATGGCTTGGCAATTAGAAGTA